GCTTGCCCTTGGGTGGTATATGTATGTGTGTATCATATATATGGGTGGTTTTGGTCCTTACTCAAATTGAATAATTAAGTCAGTGATTCACCTTGTAATATGTAACATAGTTCGTTAGTTCATAATATAAAGAATAAGTGTCTTCAGAGGTAGCTCAGTTGTTTCTCGAGTGAATTGAAATTACACTCAAAGACTGAATCTTGATAATCGTAGTGTGAGAGTTTCATTGTCTTATAGGGATTGTTATGTAATGGTGATTTAACTCTTTTACGATCCTTGTAAGGTCAAAGTATGCGAGGAATTTTACCTTTTTGCAGAAAATAGGGATAGGGGTTAGTTTTGAAGGGTCCACAATGGTAGCTGCAGAGCTGCTGTGCATCTTGGAAGCATGTTTGGTAATGAGACAAGTTACAGATCTGGGCATCATCTCTCTTTCACACCCTCCCTATCTCCATCTCACTCCCAATATATAACATGTCTGTAAAGCTACCACATGGTGTGGAAACACACAACATTATAAGATTCTAATAAGCCAACCATGATCACACCAATTGATTTCATTGTTTTGCATCAAAAGATTAGATCTTGTCTCTTCTACCATCATATGTATACAAACCTACCTTGTTATTTCTACCAAAAACAACTGTAACAGGTTATTATACCGGATACTGTTAGCACTTGTATTAATAGTAATTTGTCTGGTTGTACCAAGTACACCATATCACTTTTCCTGCCTAATTTAATTTTCTATACCGTTAAAATACCTTATTAATCCCAATTGTATATAATTAAATAATACATCACATTCTAATTTAAAAGAGTCTCAACCGCTCTAACATCATTCTTAGCCAAAATGCTAAGATTTGACAAGAACTTGGTGCATTTGTTCCCCTTGTTATACATGTGTGCAATTTAGTTCACCCAACCTTCATGCACCAAAGTCACTAGCTTAGTCCTAAATTAAGTTGTACCATAGGAGTTCCCATATGTTATTAGCTAACTAATTAGAATGCTAGCTCGATTAATGGTTGTATGTATAAGAGTGTGAATTTCTTTAAATCCTACATATATTAAGGGTTGTGGCTATTATCATGAAACATATGTTAGACATAAAATATAATCATATAATTGTTGAAAAGCTCCCAAAGAATAGCTCAATGATTGAAAGCTTGAGTGTCACTAAGGCATATTTCAAGATTTACTTCTCTTTTACACAGCGATACAACTAACTCAAAACTCGACAACACCACCATTATAGGAAAAACAGTTTTTTTTCAAAAAAAAAAAAAAAAAAAAAACACAGTTTTCAAATGGAGAATGCCAGATAAAGAAGAAAGTGACAGTGGATTGGCCCACTCTAAAAGCCAAAGAGAGAGAGAGAGAGAGAGATCAGTTAGCACCCGTGAGCACACTACATACACTCCTGCTTTGATGACCCAACCGACCAGTCCCTTCGTCTTCCATCTGTGGGATCCCTGTATTCAAAGCCCCCCTGGCCCTGCTGGGTGCTAATGCCCCTTATTGCCCCGCAACCATGTTCAAATCATGTATCTAGCTAATTTTGAGGGTGTGGTTGATTAGAAAGGACTCATCCATCTTTAATCAAAGAAAAACTTCAATTCTTGGCTTTATAGGAATGGAGCAGCTTAAATCTCCAGGCCAGCTGTTCCACTCAAAAGAGGTGTCTATAATTCGACGAGGAGATTAGTCATTGTGTCCGAGGGTAAAAATCTAGGTATACCAAAAAACAAATCATGTATCTAGCTTCAATTAATATATAATGTACCGTTAGTTAACTGATTATGTATTTGTCGTAGTTAATGTGTTATGTACTCACAGTTAACATATTATGGACGTTTAATTTATTTATAAATATATAATTTGTCAAGAGAAGATACATAATATGTTAAATAAATGACTAAATGTGTGTAATTTAAACCAGAATTTACAATGCGTATGATGAATGCTGATTCACAATAAATAATTTTCGCCAATTTGGGAGGCTGCCACCAACCCATTTGATGAGCAATCGTTATACCGTGCATCACGGCGCACATAGCACTGTGCGCTCTGCGCCTCTCAAAACGGCGTCGTTTTGTTATGTTGTTAAAAAATAATCATCTGTTTCGAATGTGCATATAAACTCATAACATAATACACATAAACTTTTAACTGAATACACATAATGAGATTTGGTTAACATAATACACAAACTCCTAACTGAATACACATAAACTTTTAATTGAATACATATAATGGGGTTTGGTCTGTTCGGACGGACGGAGTGACGTTAGCAAGAAACGTACACACTTTGTGCATGAACGCACATTACTATGTGCACCGTGGTGCACGATATAAATTGCCATTTGATGAGTGGAATGATCTTCAAGCCTAGATAGTTATGCTGTGCATCCGTATGCACCATGCATGGTGCATACGGAAGCCAAAACGACGTCGTTTATTAAAAAACGCGCGTCTCCCCTTTAAAAAAAATTCATGTTCGATTCCCAGCAACAACATTATATTGTTCATTCATTCTGGAATTTTAGTTCATAGATTATGGAATTATAGTTCATTGATTATGGAATTATAGTTCATCGATTATGGAATTGTAGTTCATCGATTCTGAAATTTTAGTTTATAGATTATGGAATTTTAGTTCATTCATTCTGGAATTTTTAGTTCATAGATTAGATTATGGAATTATAGTTCATCGATTATGAAATTATAGTTCATCGATTATGGAATTATAGTCCATCGATTATGGAATTTTAGTTTATATGTTGTTGCTGGGAATCGAACCTGATTTTTTTTTTTAAGGGAAGACGCATGTTTTATTAAAACGACGTCGTTTTTACATCCGTATGCACCATGCTTGGTGCATACGGATGCATAGCATAATTTGCCATGGTGCATACGGATGCATAGCATAATTTGCCTTCAAGCCCTTGATCCGTTTATATACTTATTTTATTGATATGGGCCTATTAACGGCCAAAATTCTGACTGGGCTTCCCGCTAAATTTCCAAGTACCAATTCTAACGTAGGAAGTGAAATGGGCAATTTATATCATATTATGGACTCTATATTAAAATAATAAGGTACAAAATTCATATTCGTAAGATACATAATTTTATAATACAAGATATAAAAAATCACAACACAAGACACATAAGCATGCTATATATTTATTTATTTTTCAAATTTGATTTGGGTACATAATGTGTGTTCATAGTTCCATAATTTCACAACACAAGACACAAAAATTCATAATATAAAACACAATTATTAATTTGTTTCAAATACAAAATTCATATTCTTAAGTTACATAATAATTTATAATACAAGACACATACACTACTACACTAGGGTTCACAATGCATTGTGAATCTGATTCATAGTATAAGAGCATCCTTAATAGTTATAGTTTTTAGGAGTTTTTGCAGGTGTGATTAGCAAAGAAATATGAGAGAGGAGAGAAAAAGAAAAAAAAAACTGAAAAAAAAAGAAAAACGGTAAAGGGTCAGTGACTCAGTAACGCGCTTGGCTGGGCGCTGGGTTGCGCTTCACGCGACTAGGGCGCAAAAATCAGAACATTCAATGAGTCATACAAGTCTGTCAAAAATCAAGTGTTTGCATGAATTTTTTATTTTTTATTTTTATTTTTTGAGAAAAGGGTTAAATATGTCCCTAAACTTTACCCCAAATGTCAATTAGGCCCCTAAACTCTAAAAAGTACAATTAAACCCTCAAACATGTCAAATTGGATCAATGAAGTCCAAAAATCGGTAAATGACCTGTTATTACAGGTGATAGGGAATATCCCGACCGGCATAACTTTACCCCGGCTGGTGTGCCTTTGTCTTTGTCTTCTTGTCTTTGCAGGTAACAGGTCGGGCTTCTTGTGAAGAACCCAGTCGGGATCTGACCGGGAGTTGCCTGAGCGGGAGTGTCGACCACCGAGTGGTAGCCCTTTGGCGAGAGAGCTGACGAGAGACACGTGGCGGCTCCACGTGTTGACAGGCAGGGCACCCGGGACGGCGACACGTGGTGGCTACGTGGGAAGCATGTCGAACGGCCGGATTTGTGTCTCCGGTGCCGCGACTATAAATATCCGCGATAGCTACAGTGTGAGGGACTTTTGGACGATCGATAGGTTGTTATTAGAGAATCCCGACCGCAGTCAGTCGGTACTCAGAGCAACCAAGTAGATTGTACTTAGGGCCTTCACCGTGATCAATAAAAGACATTTACTTGCTTTAATTGGTCTCGTATTTACTTAATTACTACTTACGTGGTAATTAACAGTATCAACAGGTCATTTCAATTCCTGTAACCGGCGACGATTGTCAAATTCCGGTCGCCTTCCGGATGGCCGCCTGGGTCGACGAACCACCACCCCCAATAGAAGGTTGTTGATTTGCAGGTCGCGATTGTAACCGTCCATGTGACTCCACTGCCTGGTCGCGATCTCCCAATTGTGAACGGCGATTGAATTGAAGGTCGGCGAAGTCCCAGGAGGGTCGATGTTGACGATCGCCGACGATGTGAGGTTGTAGCCCCTTCGACACAAACTGTCCAGAATTTCGCTAACTTTATTGGAGAAGATTCTGGCCGCCTTCTCCGGTGGAAGACGACTGGAATCTGATGACCGTCGCCATACTTTGTTATCGGTGGCCTGAATTCGTCGGCGGAATTGAAATGACATTTACTGATTTTTGGGTTTCATTGATCTAATTTGACATGTTTAATAGTTTAATTATATTTTTTAAAGTTAAGGGACATAATTGACCTTTGAGGTAAAGTTTAGGGGCATATTTGATTTTTTTTTTTTTCATCACCCTTTCTTCTCTGAATAAGCTTGTTTTTCTAACCCAATTACCCAAAACCTACAGAGGGGATGCATAGGATAGAACGAAATGTGTACAGTTGTACGCCACGTGTCACATGACGTGGACCGGCTTGTTCGAAATGTGAATCTGTGATTCTGTGTTGTTCGACACATTTCTGTATCACAGTATCATCTTCTTCACATCACTCACTCATCATTCTTCTTCTTCTTCTTCTTCCTCCAAAACCTTCAATCCCAAAAATGTCTACGCTTCTTCCACTCAGAACTCACTACGCCTTGACCTCTAATCAACGCCACCTCTCCCTATCTTCTACCCGTTTACATCATCCGCCTCGCTTCTTCAGAATCAGCGATTGCCCTGCCTCCAGATTGCTTCGCCGGAATGTTGGCCTTCTGGCTCGAGCTGAAGATAAAGCCAGGGACTCTTCAACTTCTTCGCCGACTCAACCTCAGGTTCTTCCATTTTCCAATTTAATGAGCACCAATATCTTATCTTCCAACAAGTTAGTATTTCTGTTATAAAGTTTGGTCCCAACAAGTTAAGATTTCTGTACTAATGTTCGAAGCTTAGTTGATTATCACCAGTCAAATTGAGCGTCTTGCTGAAACATACTGGAGCTTTTGCAAGTAGAGTAATTGGAATCTAGTGATGTTGGATATGACCTTGGCTATCAAAATATGTTGCTAGTTAAAGTGGAATTGATTATTGCCAATTTCTCTTGAAATAATAACTTCAAACTTTTGATACTATACGAATATATTTAAGTGATTGACTATGATTTTGGATTCAGATAGGAAGAGTGTTATTCTACAACACTATATCCCTAACCTCTTATGGATATATACAGGAATTCACATCATCTCCCGGAGCATGTGATCCGTTGTGTTCTGTTGATGAAACAAGCTGGGAGGATTTTGAAGCCAGTTACCAGCCAAAGACGGATTTACTTAAAGCTCTTGCAATTTTAGCAGCAGCTGGTACTGGAGCTTTGGCAATAAATCATTCTTGGGTGGCTGCAAATCAGGTTCCTTATCATAGCCTTTATTCCATTGCTTACAAATCAATGGCCCTTCCAAAAGTTTTTGTTGGATTGATCAGGTGTCGTACTTCAGGATATTGCAATGGCATTGTTATTTGCGATAGGATATGTTGGCATTATATTTGAAGAATCACTAGCCTTCAATAAGAGTGGAGTAGGACTTCTGATGGCTGTAAGCTTGTGGGTTGTACGGAGCATTGGGGTAAGCCTTCTGTAGTTGATATCTAGTCATTTTTGCTTTCAGTATAGTTCATATATTTGGTATTGGAGTGGGAAACACGAAACCTTACAAAAGGTGATGGGGAACACCTGTCTGCTAAGGTTAATATAAATAAAGGGTGTGAAATAATCAAATAATTCATGTCCAGTATTTACAACTTTTTTACTTCAAATTGCAGGGAAAAAAAAAAGGAAACAGAAAAAGAAACATTGGAAAGAAAATGCAGAGAGATTTAAAACCCCATGTAAAAAATGGAAGAATTAAAATCCGGTGTAGATTATACTGTCCTTCAGACAAACAGAATGTAGCTGTAAAAGTGTATTTTTTGTCACTCTTGCACAACCTAAATGATAGTTTTCCTCTGAAAAATGCACCAGAATAGACATGGAAGAGCTCATTACCTTCAATATTTTTTTGCTTTCTCAGCCAAGTTTCTCTGTAATGTCCTTGAGCAGGCCCCTTCAACTGATATAGCTCTTACAGAGCTGTCACATGCAACTGGCGAAATCAGTGAAATAGTGTTCTTTCTGCTTGGTGCCATGACAATTGTGGAGATTGTTGATGCTCACCAGGGATTTAAGCTGGTTACAGATAACATTACAACTCGCAAACCAAGAACTCTGCTTTGGGTGGTTAGTGATACATAGCCTTTGATATATTTGTCCCTTATGACCCTTGTCACTTGCATATCAGATCTAACTTTTATAGTAAAAAGTCGCTGATGATAATTGCAGGTGGGTTTTGTGACTTTTTTCCTCAGTTCTGTCCTTGACAATCTAACCTCTACAATTGTAATGGTATCCTTGTTGAGGAAGTTGGCACCTCCATCAGAATACCGGAAGTAAGTGCAAGCAACATTTTACCTCATCAGTCTGGTTTTCCAATAGGGGACAGAGATTCTTAGGAGAACAACATTATCAATATCAATACTAAATCCTGACACTTAATTTTTCTGGTGACATTGGAAATTAAGTTGAATAAAATTTAATGATTATTGATGGTAGGGATTGGAAGCTAATCTAAAAGGAGTTTAGGTAATTGAAATATGTCAGCATTTGAGTATTCATTAGGCCATTCAAATTTCATTACAATGGAGAAGCCATCTGAGATTTTCTTTAGTGTCAGCAGAGGATATATGTATGTTTGGAACACTATTTATGGGTTACAGAACAATGCTAAGTTTCTAATGAGCATGGGCAATAGCAAACTCCCCCCAAAACAAAACGCCCATCTAAATCCTTTGTCAAATTATATTGGCAGGCTTCTTGGCGCTGTTGTGGTGATTGCAGCAAATGCTGGTGGAGCATGGACTCCAATTGGTGATGTTACAACTACTATGCTTTGGATCCATGGTCAAATAAGTACACTGCCAACAATGAAGGTTTCTCAGCTGTTTAATCAATCTGCATGGACACATCATATTTTCATGGACTATGAATTATAATTGGGCGAAAATCTTTGATGAATATGCATTCGCAGATATCTCCTGGTATATTAGTATTTGGCCTAGCATTGGCAATTTTGTGGTAACTGAACTATTTAAATGATTGGTATGCATTGTTGAGTTTCTCAAGGAATATTTGCATTTGATAGAGCCAAAGTAGTCATGACCGAACTGTTTGCATAATTTTTGGAAAATTATTTCCCTAACATGATTAGCATGTTGCCATGTTATATACTTAAAGAGCATGCAGGGTATCTATAAGATGGCATTTGCTTTGAATATCTCTAGCCAATGTATACAAGACTGTAAGGGGATGTTTGGTTCATGGAAAATGTTTTCTAAAGGAAAACATTTTCCTTAAAGTGAAGGAAAATGTTGTTTTCTAGTGTATGGTTCATGGAATTCATTTTTCATTGGAAAATGAATTCCTCAAATTTGAGGAAAACAAAATCCTTGGTTGGACCAAGGATTTTGTTTTCCATGGAGGATGGGAAGAAAAAGTGAATAGATTGCCTATTTTACCCTTGCTTTCTTTTTTAATTATATTACTTTTATTAATTTGTAGGGGCATATAGGTCTTTATACTCATTATTCCTTACAATTCCAAATCTAACCAAACAATAGAATTAGTATTCCCAGTAATTCTTTTTCCACCAACCAAACAATGAAATTCATCTTCCTAGTAATTATTTTTCCATGGAATTCCAATTCCACTTTCCTTAAAATATTTTCCGCGAACCAAACGAGCCCTAACTATTTGCATGCTTGTTCCATGAGTATCATCAAATATGTAATTAAAACTTTACACATGTGAACTACAATGCTGCTAAACCCTAAGATTATTGTTGTTCTAATTTTTGTTACTTTATTATTATTGTTGTTGTGGGGGGTGAGTTGGTGTGTAATTTCGTGAAATTTAATTACTGATAGAGTGATAGTTCAATGGAGATCTGACCTTGTGTGGGTTGTTCAATCAAGAGGGCAATGCATAATACTCTGTGCTGACATGATGATTTACTAAATAATTGCTGTAACATACTTGCTAGATATCTACTGTGTCAACTATCCTATTTTCAAGAGCATCATCGGCTATCTGCTGTAGTGTATAGATTTTGTAGTTCTTAAATTAACTTGGTAGTATATAGATTTTATAGTTCTTAAGTTAAACTACAATCTTGTCATTCTTTCCATCTACTATGCATCTTATCCAGAATGTCGTACCTTTACACCATTTAGAAAAATTTGATCCATTTCTACTGTTTGCAGGATCTATTTGTACCATCAGCAATCTCTTTAGCTGTTCCATTGGCTCTTATGTCCTTAGCAAGGTATTTTGCTTTACATGCTGTACAAAATGTCTCTTGAACCTTTGGAATAGTAGAACACAATTAAAATTGTTTAGTATGGGAATATGGGTGAAAATTGATTTGAGACTTGTTCTTGTGTTCAGTGAAGTTAATGGGAAGGGACAGAATTCTGCAGATGTTTTGGCCTCTGAGAAGATGGCCCCTCGGGGACAGCTTGTTTTCTCTGTGGGTATTGGAGCTCTAGTTTTTGTACCAATATTCAAGGCCTTAACTGGATTGCCTCCTTATATTGGTATGTTGCTTGGCCTTGGAGTACTTTGGATCCTAACAGATGCTATTCACTATGGTGAATCTGAAAGACAGCATTTGAAAGTGCCACAAGCTTTGTCACGCATTGACACTCAAGGAGTTCTTTTTTTCCTTGGAATCCTTCTCTCCGTCAGCAGGTAAATTAAAGAATTCAAAGTTGTGTTTTATTCTCACTGTTTGTTTCCTTTCACCTTTTTTTTTTAAACACAAATTTATACGCCTCATTGTTAGTCCCTAATTCCACCACTGCCTCGGGATAGATTAGTTCTGATATTAGTTTCGCTTTGCATAAAACTGGAAGAAACAATTTTAACATTCCGTTGTGTTGATTAAATTCTGTCGAATAGCCTGGAGGCAGCAGGTATTCTGCGAGAATTGGCAAATTACCTCGACACCCATATTGCAAACACTGAACTTATTGCAAGTGCAATAGGGGTTGTATCAGCAATTATAGACAACGTTCCACTGGTTGCAGCCACAATGGGGATGTATGACCTCTCCTCCATTCCTAAAGATTCTGAGTTCTGGCAACTGGTGGCATATTGCGCTGGTACAGGCGGATCCATGTTGATTATAGGCTCTGCTGCTGGAGTTGCATTTATGGGGATGGAGAAAGTGAATTTCTTTTGGTATCTCAGAAAGGTGTGTGCTCTAGCTGCCCTTTGATAATCTAATGTTTTTGCCACCAGAAACTGAACCATTTTCTATTGTGCAGGTGAGTGGGTTTGCTTTTGCCGGTTACGCCGCGGGTATTGCTGCATACCTAGCACTTCACAATTTGAACCTCTCTCTCCCCACTACTCTAGCTGAAGTTCCTTTCCTTTCTGGTTCATAAAATGTGGGCTTTTCAGTTTTGCTGGTGGCAGACAGCAGACTAACCAATTGGCTGTTTGTTGCACCAAATTGAGCAGTGAAGGACTGAACAGGGTGCCAATTATAGGCAAATTCCCACTTGATAGAAGCAAATTTACCATAGTTTAGCTTACATGTGAAGATCAAAAGACTGGCAAGAGATTTTTTACTGTTTCCTCAAATAGTCTTATTTTTTTTTTGGTGAGATCCTCAAATAGTCTTATCAACCTCCCTTTTCTTGTACTTTTATTAAGAGACAAGTGAAGTTAAACTCGCTGTCACTATTTAAGGATGTATACTGCATAAATTTTGTCTTGTGACTTCAGCTGATTGACTCATATCAAGAGAGTCAATAAATTACTTTCACTGGGAGTCAAACTTAAAACTTTATGGTTATCAAACGAATGGCTCTGATTGTTGTCAAGATTCAAGAGTCATAACTCATAAGCAATGGAAATGATTAAGCCAAGAAACAAAGATACTTAACTGAGACAATGAGAACAGCTCTCAACAGTGCATACACAGTACATATCTTAATTGCACATGCAAATCACTCTCTTTTCCCCGCAAATAGAAGCTAATTGTAAGCAAAACAGAACTACAAAAACTGGCACCTAATGGAAGCTTGAGAGCATTTATGGCCTTATAACTTGAGGTAAACAAACTCCTCAACAGCAGGGATTTCGCCAATCCTCTTCAGTGATTCTTTGCTGGGCTGTTCATCAACTCCGATTGCCATTAAAGCGTGCTTCCTTGGAGCACTTCTCCCGACACTCATGAAGCTCACGTTCACATTCTCCTCGCCCAAAATGCTACCCACCTTGCCAATCATACCTGGCTGATCAACCTGTCTGCAGAGGATGATACTGCCTTCCAAACTCACATCTACTTCAAAGGAACCCACCTTTGTCAAATGCGGGACTCCATCTTTGACACGACCCTCCACCCTGATCTCCCCGGAGTCAGAAATGGCACTGGCGAATTTGGATTCCACGTTGGCAATCTGAACCTGAATGAACTCGAGCGGGCTTTCTGGAGAACCATCAAGAAGAACTCGTTCTTCAGCTATTCGGATTCCTCTCTGCTTGGCAGTGAAATCTGCATTAACCAAGTTGACAAAGACGCTGGAGATGGGCTCAATAAGACCCTTTGTTATCATGGCACGAAGAACCCTGGTATCAAGATCATCAGGAGCTCTGGCAGAACCATATGTTACTTTCACAGTTTTCACACCACTCCCACCTGTTACCAACTGGACTGCAAGTCTACCGAGTTTCTCAGCAAGAACAACAAATGGCTTCAGCTCTGTCAATACCTGCATTCAAATAGTTATCAAATTGAAATGTCAGCCCCGCATCTGCATAATCCAATTGCATATAATTGAAGCATGTGCTCCATCTCAACTAAAAGCCTAAGCTGGTAGTCACGCGTGCAGTGGGTTCCAAGCAACACGTGGACCGTAGTCGCTTTGGTCGGGCTCTATACCAAATTGAAGCATGTGCTCCATCCCAACTAAAAGCCAAAGCTGATAGTTGGATTGCACATTAATGGCTATATGCTCAACACATATCCCACTCCTAAAATCACGCCCTTTTCAGAAATTGAAACGGGAAATTGACAATACCTCAGCTGGAACCATAGGTGCATTAACAGCAGTAGCCGCAAGCTCTCCTTTCAAAGCTCCAACCACTGCCTCGGCAATTTCAATAGCAACTCCTTCCTGGATTGATTTTCAAATAGCATTTGTTAACATATAGGAGAGGGGTTCGCAAAATAAACAACATGGCGTCCACAAACCTGAGCTTCCATAGTACTAGCGCCAAGATGTGGAGTCACAGTTACTAGCTCATGCTGTACCAATTTACTGTCTTTAGCTGGAGGTTCCTCGGTGAAAACATCAAGAGCCGCCTGAGATTTAATTTAAAAAAAAAAATTAAAATAAGAAATGAATAAATGCATTACGACTGAAGAATCTTGGCTTTATGGATGATGAATTGAAGCATATGCTCCATCTCAACTAAAAGCTTAAGCTGATAGTTGGATTGCACATTAATGGTAATGGTTATATGCTCAACAATGATGAAGTACCTGTGCCACAATGCCTGCATCAATGGCCCTCACCAATGCTTCTTCATCAATTACTCCCCCACGAGCAACATTGACAATTCGGACCCCTTTTTTCATCTTAGCAAAAGTTTCGTCATTTAGCATCTTAGATGTGGCAGGAGTAAGAGGCATGTGAAGTGAGATAAAATCTGCAGATGCAATGGCTTCATCAAAGCTCACAAGTTCCACTCCTATGGCACGGGCTCGGTCAGCTGGGGCATACGGGTCATGAGCAATAACATGCATACCCAGCCCCTTTGCTCGTCTAGCAACTTCAGATCCAACCTTCCCAAAACCCATAACAACCAGTGTTTTTCCGACAAGGGATACACCAACATATTTGTTCCTCTGCCACTTTCCTGCAATTCACATAATGACAAACTTCACAGTTCCATTTTTGAAAGGCTTGTAGTTTTCTAAAAATCACAACCATGAATGAGAAACGTCCCACTCAAAATGTATCAACTGAAAATCCACCAAATCCCAGAACCAGCAAATGAAGATCTTGTCAAGATACCAAATTATTCACAGTGACTGAGAAGTTACTTACAATCCTTAGATTTAATTTTCAGCTCTCAATGGAAATGATACAAAATACAAAAACTCAAATGAGAGAACAAACATTCAGAAAACAAAGTAGGACACCAGAAAGTGCCACCCACATGAACACCTACTGGGAAAGTACTACGGTCACATAGAATATCATGCCAGCATTAAAAAGAAAAGGACAAAAAGACAGATTGCAACTCATCAAAAGCTAAACTTTTTGATTCTGTATACAATGATCATTTCTCCTGGTATTAACAATTGTTTACCAATTCCCATAAAAGAGGATTCTAAAGAGGCGGAAAAATGCTATTAAAAGTTAAAACATCTCGGGACAAGCAGATCTGAGTATAAGGTTCCAACTTCCATGAATGGCAAAGAAATTAGAGTGAACTTTATTATTAAATTAAATATAATAATAATAAAAAGTACTAACCGGCTTTAACAGAGGCATCGGCTTGGGCAATGTTTCGAGACATGGCGGTGAGCAATGCGATGCCGTGCTCGGCAGCGGCCACAGTATTGGCAGTGGGCGCGTTCACTACAAGGCAGCCGTGCTCAGTGGCGGCGGCGAGATCGACGTTGTCGATACCGACGCCGGCCCGGCCGACGACCTTGAGGCGTCCGGCGGAGGATTCGAAGACCTCGCGGCTGACTTTGGTGGCGCTGCGGACAATCAGCGCATCGCAGAGCGAGATCTTGGTGCAGAGCTCCTCGGGGCTGAGATTGTAGGAGCAATCGACATTAGCGAACTCCTTGAGCAGGCTGAGCCCAGCCTCCCCGAGTTTCTCGGCCACGAGGACGGTGGGCTTGGCGTCCATCGCCAGCACCACGAAGCGGAGAGCACGGCGGCGGGGGAAAGCGGCAGTAGTGGAGACGCGGAACGCCGCCACGGAAGAGAGGTTGCTCTTCCATGAGAGGGAGGAGGTCTTGGCGGCGATTAGGGTGGTAGATGAAGCTGAAGCCGCCATTGGAATTGAATTGGAAGGTTTTGCGGCGAGAGAGAAAAGTGCAAAAAACAATATAAGTTTACGGAAGGGAAAATGCGATGTTTTATAGTACCAAGCCGACAGGCTCGCGGTTGGTGAGATCTTCTTTTGTGTTCGTCGGACTCAAGCCAATTGAATCACTTGTACAGTTGTACACTTCAATTTTCATCCCAATTGTGTTAGGTTAGATTGGTAAACTTTTATTCTACAATTATTATAATTTTATTTTATGTCTATAAAATGAAAGTTTATCTTTAGAAATGAATCTGATTTAATATATTAAATTTACAATTTACAATGTAATCCATAACGAAGAGATAGAAACAAACAAAGAAAATTGTTGAGTTAGATGGATATATGAAAAGAAGTGCGGTGGGTACTGGGTAGTGTATAATACACTAAATAGAGATAATTAATTGATTTTAAATATGGTTAAAATAAAATATATATAAATAGAGGGTAGGTAGGACATTGAATGAATAGTATAAAGTTCTAAAAAGGTAATATAAGATTATATCTATAAAAGTATAAAAAATACAATAAATCAACATGCAATAAAATTGAGGTGGGTAACTTCTTAGCCCATCGAAAAATTAAAAAGGAGAGGTTAACTTAAAATTTGCCTCAAGATAGTCAAATCAAATGCTAAAGACAAAATATTGTCAATTGTCTGAAAGGTAATTTTTTTTTTTTTTTTTTGTTGCCTAGTGAAGGTATAAAAAGTCAAAATCTCCACACTGTCACAGTTATGCTGCTCGATCACACGACGAATTTTGACGAAAACCAGTTTCCTATTGACTTTAGTATTTTCCCTCTTGCCAAACACACCCTTAGATGTCAAGTCAATAAACTAAGGTTTGTAAAGAAGTTGACCTCATCCATAATAGTAGGAAAAATGTGTAACTCATTTAATAAGAGATAAATTTTTATGTAACTAAATAGTAATTAGCAATCTCTTTTAAATCGTCCAATACTCTACTACGAAGTGCAATTGAATCTCACCTATAAAAATTTTACAATCACAATTAATATAATTATTAATTAAACTATATGTAATCATTTGACTGCCAAACAACTTGTGCTCAGATGGCACCCGGGTTGGACTCTCATATGGGAGGTTGTGAGTTTGTGCTTCAGTGGATACTATATTGTAATAGAGTCAGTATCATTCAAAAAAAAATGTAATCATTTGCCTCTCATTTCATTTATGATCGCTATATTTTTTCTCAAATTTTCGGCCATCATTTAGGTTAGATAACACTCATAACAGTATGAATGGTTTATAGTAAGAGTAAATGAAATGAGGTATAAGCGTGAACATATAAGGGAAGAAGTTTAACGTATTATTGAAGTGAATTACAGAAACTATATATACTAAGAGTACACCACAAAAGTAGGAAACTAACAGAGACTAAGCTAAAGAATAGATTAACTACTCCTGAATATCCTCTTAGCCTAATACTCCCCCTCAAGCGGAAGAGGGACAAGGTACCACGCCCAGCTTGAACCGTAACTCATTGAACCGAGCCGACGAAAGGGGTTTAGTGAAGATGTCCGCCAACTGGTCATGCGTGGACACGAAATTAACTTTAAGCGCACCAGAAGTAACTTTGTCCCTGACAAAGTGATAATCGACTTCAACATGCTTCGTGCGTGCGTGGAATACTGGATTGGAGCACAGATAGGTGGCTCCTAAATTGTCACACCAGAGCACCGGGACGGTAGGCGGGAGCAGACCAAGTTCACGAAGGAGAGACTGAACCCAAGTGACTTCAGCAGCAACATCGGCCAACGCTTTATACTCTGCCTCGGTGGAAGACCGAGCTACTGTCCGTTGTTTGCGTGACCCCCACGATAGTAAATTCGGGCCTAGGAACACTGCATAACCACCTGTAGACTTTCGGCCAACAGGACAACCAGCCCAGTCTGAGTCTGAAAAGGCATGTAGAACCGGATCAGTCGTGGGAATGAGACGAAGGCCAAGGTGCATGGTGCCTTGCACATAGCGGAGAACACGTTTCAGAGCAACCCAATGAGTTTGCATAGGCTGGTGCATGAACTGGCACAACCTATTCACTGCAAACGACAGGTCCGGTCGAGTGATGAGCAGGTACATGAGCGAGCCAACAAGTTGGCGATAAGCAGTAGGATCATCTAGGACTACGTCTGAGTCCGGACTGGCCTCCGACGTGACAGCCACTGGCGTGGTCAATGGCTTGCAAGTCTCCATTCCCGCCTTGCGTAATAACTCAATGACGTAACGTTGTTGCGACAATATCAGGCCGCCTTCCGTGTCAACAGCCTGTATGCCCAAAAAATAGTGAGGTCTGCCAAGGTCTCTAATACGAAACACAGTAGCTAGTTTCGAAAGCACATCATCTACCACAACACGACTATTTCCCAACACGAGAATATCGTCTACGTAAACTAACAAGTACACTTTTACATCACCAGATTCATAAATAAATAAAGAAATGTCTGTCTTGGAGGTACGAAACCCAATTTGAACCAGAAACTCGTGTAGTCGGGTGAACCAGGCGCGGGGAGCCTGCTTGAGACCATACAAAGAGCGCTCGAGCTTGCAGACATGATTCAGAAAGGCCGGATTCACATACCCCGGAGGCTGCCGCATATAAATGTCTTCACTCACACGCCCATTTAGAAAGGCGTTGTGAACGTTCAGTTGTCGCATGACCCACCTGTTTGAGACTGCAAAAGACAAAAGTAAACGCACGGTTGTCGGTTTGACAACCGGGCTATATGTCTCAAGATAGTCTTTACCCGGTACTTGGTTGAAGCCCTTCGCCACCAACCGAGCTTTATACCGCTCAATGGACCCGTCAGACTTCCTTTTGACCCGGAACACCCATTTGCACCCGATCACGTTCATGTCACGTCGGGGTGGTACGAGACGCCAAGTCTGATTGTGGATTAGAGCGTTGAACTCTACATCCATAGCATTGCGCCAATGTGTAGATTTGACGGCCTGGCTATGACATGTAGGCTCGTCGTCCTCTAGAGAAGCGACAAGTGCTCGCGGTGGCCGGCGTTGTACTCCGGTGGTGGTGCGCAACTGCATGACATGAGTCCGAACAGTCGGGCGCTGACGCCTCCGCCGGCCTGTCATCGTAGTAGAGGTGGACGGCTGGTATGAAGAGGTGGCAGCCGCCGCAGTCGACGACGAGGTGGGTACGGCAGTACAGCGAACAGGTTGTGACTGACTTGGCGACGAACGTGGTTCTGGCGGAGCCGGTGGTACAGAATACGCCGGAGACGGATGTCGGAGTTGAGCGGTCGCCCATGGTATCTGCGATGAAGATGGTACAGCAATAGATTCATGTGGCCCCGAAAACGGGAAAACCGCTTCATTGAACCTTACGTGCCGAGCAATATATACACGCCCAGTTGATCTGTCCAGACACCTATATCCACTAAAGGAATCCGGGTAACCAAGAAAAACACAAGAAACAGAACGGTAGTCCATTTTGTGTGAGTTGTAAGGACGCAGACAGGGAAAGCACTCACACCCAAATACACGCAACATTGTGTAGTTAGGTGGTTTGTTAAACAAAAGAAAATATGGGCTTTTATTCCCAGAAACTGACGATGGCAACCGATTTATCAGGTGTACCGCAGACTCAAAAGCGTATGACCAGTATTTCTTTGGGACCTGACTATGTGCTAACAAAGATAACCCGGTTTCTACCACATGACGATGACGCCGCTCCACACGACCATTTTGTTCGTGCGTGTGGGGGCAGGTTTATCTATGCATGATCCCGGCAGCAGCAAACACCGTGTGTAACTTACGGTATTCGCCACCCATATCAGTTTGTACACATTTAATTGAGGTGGAAAACTGTTTTTCAACTAAAACCCGAAACGTTTGAAAAATGGAATAAATATCTGTTTTGAGTTTCATAGGATATATCCACATGAACCGCGAATAATTATCAACGAACAATACAAAGTATTTATGACCGTCAACTGACGGGACAGGAGACGGGCCCCAGATGTCTGTAAAAATTAACTCTAAGACAGACTAACTTGAGTTTTCTACACGTGCCAATGGGAAGCGCGCAGACTTACCCATCTGGCAGGCAGTACACAAATTATTTATAGAATTAATGGACCCTACTACGGGACAACTCGAGATAACCTGACGCAGAACACGACTGTGCGGGTGACCAAGACGCTCATGCCACACTTTCGGAGAGGCTTTAGCAGATACAAACGCAACTGGAGCAGGCACGCGGAGTGGATACATCCCGTCCTGACTCGGACCCCTAAGAAGAACCTGGTGTGTTGTACAGTCCTTCACAACGAAATAAGATGAGTGAAATTCAAAGTAAACACCATTATCACGGGTGAATTTTTGTACAGACAATAGTGAGGCACGAAGTTTAGGGACATGTAAGATTTTATTGAGAAACAGTGACCGGGACTGTGAGTTTAAAGACAGAGAACCTGTGTTTCGGATTGACAGACCTGTGCCATCACCAACTCGAAGCGTGTCACCACCTGAATACTGCTCCACTTCATTTAACGCATCACCATTCGGGGTAGCATGTGCAATGGCACCGGTGTCTGGGAACCAAACGTTGGAGAACGGTGCAGTAGTGTGATCATCTTGAACAGCAACATGCGCCTGTGGGGGTGCGGGAGGGTAACCACCGGACTGCACCAAATTTGGACGATGACCGGTAGTGTCGTCGAACCTTTTGTAACAAGTGAGAGCAGTGTGCCCTGGGATGTCGCAAATCTGACACCGAATTCCCCCGCACCCACGCTGACCACGTCCCCTCTGGCCTCGGTGTGCTCTTCCTCGCCCGCGTCCAGTGGGAGGCTGCTGCTGTTGCGCCACCATCGCAGTTGGAGTAGGCGGCGACATGGGTGCAGCTTCGTCTGGAAATAAATAATTGTGCGTGGACAGTAAATCAGCAACCTCTGGAATGGTTAATGGTGCACTCTTGGTGGTGAGCGACGCAACAAGAGACCTGTACTCTGGACGTAATCCTCTGAACACGTGAAGATTTTGTTC